TTTTTTTTTTTTTTTTTTTTTTTTGTTGAGTATCAATGGCGGAACGCAGGTTTTGTATAGGCTATGCTTTGGCTCCCAAGAAACGACAGAGCTTCATCCAAGACTCGTTAGTGAATCTCTCGGCGTCTAGAGGAGTTGATCTTGTTCGAATTGACACTGAACGGCCACTTCTTGATCAAGGTCCATTCGATTGCATTCTCCACAAGTTTTATGGCGTGGATTGGAGGAAGCAACTGGTGGAGTTTAGACTTAAGAATCCTAATGCCTTCATTTTGGACTCGCCGGATTCGATTGAGAGACTTCATAACCGGATTTCGATGCTTCAGGTTGTCTCCGAGTTGAAGATTGATAATCCGGATGAAACGTTTGGGATCCCTAAGCAGATTGTGATTTACGACAAGGAGACTTTGTTTGATCGGCAGGCTTGGGAGGGTTTGAAGTTCCCTGTCATTGCCAAGCCGTTGGTTGCTGATGGAAGCGCCAAATCTCACAAAATGGCGCTCGTTTTCAACCATGATTGTTTGAACAAGCTCAAGCCTCCGATTGTCTTGCAGGAGTTCGTGAATCACGGGGGCATTATCTTTAAGGTTTACGTTGTTGGACAGTATGTGAAATGTGTGAAGCGAAAATCTCTCCCTGACGAGCCGGAAGTGAAGTTGGGGAATGTAGAGGGATTGTTATCATTTTCGCAGGTCTCGAATATGACTCCTCGTGAGAAAATTGACGACAAGTACTACAAGATGATGCAGCTTGATGATACAGAGATGCCACCGTTGAGTTTCCTCACCGACATCGCTGGAGGGTTGCGGCGCTCCATGAACTTGAATCTTTTTAACTTCGACGTGATTCGAGACTCGAACATTGGGAATCGGTACCTTATAATTGACATTAACTATTTCCCTGGGTATGCCAAAATGCCGGGTTATGAAGAGATCTTGACGGATTTTTTCTGTGATTTAGCGCAGAAGAAAGAGGCAATGAACCGTCCTAACAACAAGGATATTGAGGACAAGATTGGTTCTGATCGGCGTGGCCCGATGCAGAGTGTTGATCAAGAAATAACAAAGATTTCCATTAATGAGGATGTTGGAGGTCAATCAGTTGACAGTGAAAAGAAAGAATCCCCTGTTCAAGATTGACCATTATTTTGGAAACCCTTCATTCTCAAGCTTGTTTGTGATCTGAAGTCAGCTTGAATTCGCTCCATTCTGGACTCAAGTGAGTTGTTCTACACATTCCTCTAGATAGCCATTGATACTGAAATGAAAAAGGGATATTTTCCTGTTTTTCAATTAGTCTTTAACTGCATGACTAGATTTCATTTGTGTCCAGTGTTATCATGTATATTCCATCCTAACGTTACCACTGGAGATAGTTCTGAAATACCCTACTACTGATGAGATATATGGAGGAGGTTAAATTGTATCTTGAGGCTTAAGCTTTTTCTCATGGATCTTGAATCTTTTAGTGAATTCAATTACTGATTTTTTTGCCCCCCAGAAAACTTCTAGTATCATTTTATCTTCTTTGTGTTTGGTATAGTGTTGTAATGAAAATGCACTGGTGTTGTAGACAAATAAGACATCCTTCCAAACTAATTGTAGAACTTGCTTGTGTTCTGAATCCATGAAACTTCTTTAAGATCTGCCAAGGGAATGAAGTAAGAATAATAGTTGTAGCTCGTTTCGATTTTGTTTATGATATAGAATGGTTGAATATGGTTTTTAGGTCCTGAATCTGATTTTGTGTGAAGCTTAGAAATTATGATAATCTTGTGCGTGTAAATGTGAGATCCCACTCCCGTTGAAGAGGGAAATGAAAGCATTCTTTATAAGTTTGTGAAAACTAATCCCTCCTTGGTAGATAGACATGTTTTAAAATTGTCAGTTTGAGAGGGGTACGAAGCCATTCTTTATCACGATATGGAAACCTTTGTCTAGTAGACATGTTTTAAAATTGTCGGTTTGAGAGGGAAACGAATCATTCTTTATAACAGTGTAGAAACCTCTCCCTAGTAGACGTATTTTAAAATTGTGAGGAGGTTGATGGTGATATGTAACGGCCCAAAACTGACAATATCTACTAGTTAGTGGTGGGCTTGAGCCGTTACCGTGTCTTTTCTTCGCTTTGCTTGTGATTCCTTTCTCCAAATGGGTTCTTTTGGATTAGGATTTTGGTTTAGAAAGACAGAATGGATCTATATATCATTTCTCTCTTGATTTAGTTCTGTCTTGTGGCTTTGTGGAAGTACCTGGATGTTCTTGAAACAAGTTACTGATGTGAGAATCGCCGTTGTTCCCTTCGATGGAGGATTCTTGAGGACTATATATGTGAAATGAAAAGCTTGGCTGTCTTCTTATTTATTATATTACCACACACAAGCACAAACCATTGTGTGAGAACTGGTTGGGGATATATAGGCATTTTGTTCATTCCATTGACTATCCTCTTTGCATATTGTTTCCAATCACACCCAAAACATTTCGAATAAGAATATATGCATCATCCAAATGTTCTGATATGTTCCGATATTCAACTACATGGTTATACTCAATATGCAAATATGAAATTCCGATCCATAGGCCTGATCCCTATGTGTTAAGAGGGAAGACCTACTTCCAGTTACTTGTTTGAGTGGCACGAGAATGAACTGTTGGGGAGAATAGTGGAGATATATTACGAGCCTTTTCTTGTTCTTAATTTACTAACATCGTCTCTCCCTTAGGCTAATATTCTTTGGCGTCGTCGAAAAGTTTGTTTGGAGGAAAAAGTAAATTTGAACTTTCAGCTTCATTAAGTTCAAATTTACTTTTTCCTCTTTGACTTACAACACAGGTAAAAATTAGATAACCACAAACAAAAAAGAGGACATTGTCTATATACTTTAATAATAGAATATCACTCTATGAATATAATAATATTAATAACAAACACTAGTTCAATAATAAGATAATGAATAAGTAAATTGTTTTTTTTTTTTTTTGTAAGTTATAAATGGCCTAATCTGCTCGGAACTATGGCAACGAAATAAGTCTGCAAGCCGACAACCCGACTGGCTACGAGCAAAGGAATTCCTAAACAACCTTACAATCATAGATCTTCTAATAATTATATATATATTATGGATCAGATATTGATTAATCTTCGATGGGTCTTTTAATTTATGGATATATCGATAGATAATGCCTAGTTCGTAGAGTTATAACAAACAATAAAACTCTAAAAATCCGGGAAAGTAATTTTCTAAGCAAGTTGAACTTGACATTTTTTTCCCTGTATGTTACATATCAAAGCAGCATATGGACCAATTCAGACATGATTTTCAGAAACTTGAAATTTTTTTTCCCTATATGTTACCTTTCAACGCTGCATATGATGATCAACTCAGTCATGATTTGAGCAGTAAGAATCAGAAATGTATACTAATCTGTACGGAATTTCGTTGTGAACTACATGAGACAACCGACGTAGCGAGCGCGGGGATATAGCCTCTGTAGTTGTGGCCATTGCACAAAGAACTGATCAGCCATGTATAACTTATATAAAATCAAGCCACTTAGTGATAATCTCTTCACTCTTGCAATGCTTTCCACATAAAAAATTGAAGACCATCTAATCCCCATAACCTGCATATTCAGATTCAACCCACTGTTATCCTCTAAAACCATGTGATCTTGGAATTGAGAAAAATGCAAAAGAATGCAGAGTTCAATGCACTTTTGAACCTTGAATATGAATGCAATTACGCATAGAGGGATGCAGGTACCAGGGCCATTGCAGAGAATCTGCAACAAAACAAAGCTGGTTCAAACAAAAACAGGTTCTCTAAAGCAAAAGAGGTCATATAATTTGCAGATTGACAGAGAAAAAATACCACTTGAGGTCTAAGTTTAAGCATTAGCCAGAGTGCGTGCAATGTGGCAATCAAAGTTGTCCAAACGGAAGTGAAATATGATTGTCCTACTTCCCTACTTCTGTAGATCTGCATAAACTGTGCAGTCTTGTCTACCTCAGCCCCGGTCTGCAATAAGAAGCGCTGGTTCATGAACAAATTTAATATGAAAACTCGCAAAATTATATGAGAGGTTTAAATTCCTGTACTTCACATTTGTCTGTACTAAAAAATGAAGCGAACACCGTTTTAGACATATTATTGTAACTCGTTAATGGACTCTTCGAAGTTTTTGTTTGATAACAATAAACAATGTATTAAGAGAAAAATTATGCCAGAAGATCATTGAATTGAAAGAAAAAGCAACAGAAATCTCTGGAGATAGCAGATCAACACTAAGTTCCGGGGTTGTTTCCTGAATGCTGAGAATAAGGGGAGATAGTAACTTACTATCTGAAGAAAACTAACAAGCTCAAGCTCGAATGATCAACCTACTATTGATCGACAAAGCTCCAAGTGCATGCTACATGTGAGATTCTGATCGTCTTCCTCCCAATAGCAATGAGATTCCCCAATATCATGCTAAGAATAGCTAGGATTTCCAAATGTTGTTGTCCGTAGTGGGAAGGAAAGTTTTAGGAACAGAGAAGGTCAAACTCTGGGCGGGCTGCTAGGTTTCGTCTATGCTATGGTTTCATAAAATTGAACATTTTTTCTTCAACCGGTGTAAAGGAGTTCCTAGCACAAGGGAATGGGCTTTCATTCCAGGAACCGCCTCGTCTATGCACTCAGCCCCTCTCTTGAAGGTGCATATGACAAAAAACAAATAGACTCACCAAGCATAAATGAAAATCCTTCCCCCGACTGTTGACGACCGTAGACCTCGGGAGGAGCACTTTACTTTAAGGCGTGCCCCAGCATTATTAGGGTGGCCAAATGTCTGTTCACTAGTTTGAATGGACTCAATTGGGCCTCTGTTGCTCGAGTTCAAATTGGACTTGGGTCGTGGGCATAACCATTTCAGGGACAGGGGCTTACGTTGAAGCAACTTTCAATGTGGCCCTTTAATGTATTTGGAGTTCCATTCCTTCTTGGGAACTTAAAAGCGTTGGGACAACAAATTAGCTCACGCTCTCATGAACTGAGACTGGATTAGGTTCATCCACCTTACTTTCTAGTTGAGCCGGTTGAATTGGATTCATTTTATAAGAAGCTTTGTTTGGAAGTGCAGAATTTGGGGTAATCAACGCGATGTTGAATATTCTAAAGTGATAGTTGGACTCTCATCTGGTAACATCTTTCTGAATTCTACGGTCAGTGTTATCACAAGTTTCCAGCAAACCACACATATCCATCTAATTTCCAAGGGTTTCCCTTTGACTCAGAACTACACTATTTTATATGCTTGAGGTTGAGGATCCATTTTCATGATCAATTTAGTTACCATCTCTTTGGCCGCCACACTACTTCAACTATCAATTCATGCAAACTTTTTCATGAGTTACTCCTCTTTTTCGTCGGACGACTCGTAGGAGGTGAGAAGGGCCTTTACTACTCCGTCCCACAAAATGTATTACTATCGACCCTACTAGGCAATATCAACCTACAGAAGCTCGATCAGGAGATAGGGAGGATCTGACAAAGCACAAAATTCTGATTGTTCAGAGAATCAGATTGGTTCTATTAAGGACAGGTCGTATTGATGACCAATCAAACTCTAGAGATGAAGCAAGCTACAAAGTCCTAATTGTGGGGAGGGTAAAGAGCTTCCAACGCAAAGAAGCCTTTCATTCCCTCATTTTGCCGTGGCACACCCCACACACAAGTACCACCCGGCTCAGGAGGGACCAGAAAACACCTTCCACAATCCATGATAATGTTCTTAAAAAAATACATTTTATTTGAAAGTTGTCATCTCGTAATCATGTCTCTTCATCCTCTTGAACTATTTTTTTAGGCTTCTTCAAATCACCAAAGCTTCCCCTTCATAAGCATTGTTTTTTCATTAACATCGTCATCTTCTTGATTCTTTTCTTTTTCATTTTTTCACTGCATCTTTGATAATAGTTAGTGATCACAACCTTTTGATTGGGGCATTCAAAGATGAGGTGATCATACCATTGACACTTGTGGCAGTTTCAAGTGTATGTACAGCCAAATGATGAATGTTTGCAGCCCAAGTCAAAATTCTAATGTGCCAACAACAATCAAACGCCCAATGGAGTCTGCAGAAATATCATCCTATAGTTTCATGTTCTCTATTCAATATACAACAGCTAGTTTATGGCCAGCTCACCATTTTTTTTCTACACTAGCCATTTCTTTAATGATTATTAACTTTGACCATTTAGCCATTTTTTTGGCATTCAAACAAGTCTTAAACTATGATTGATGGCAATAAAGATGATATCAACATTATCGGCTCTGTTTATTTGTCAACACCAGTGAGATTTTGTCAAATATAGTGACGGTTTGGTGGTCCTTAGTCAAATTTTGTTCTGATGTGGTCCTTCGTAGGCCATTTCTACTTGGTGCTTCATAGGCAAGTGTGGTTGTGGTTTGATAGTTTTAAGCCATTTGTGGTGGGTGTGTGTGAGATCTTGGAGAGGGGAACAAAGCATTCTTTATAAGGGTATGGAAACTTCTCCCTAGCAGAAGCGTCTTAAAACCCTAAGAGGAAGCCCAAAGAGGACAACATTTGCTAGCAGTGGGCTTGAGCTGTAATAAATGGTATCAGAGTCAGACACTGGATGGTGTGCCAGCAAGGACGCTGGCCCCAAAAGAGGTGGATTGTGAGATCCTACATCGATTAGAGAGATGAATGAGTGCCAACGAGGACGCTGGGCCCCGACAGTGGGTGGATTGTGAGATCTTGGAGAGGGGAACGAAGCATTTTTTATAAGGGTGTGGAAACCTCTCCCTAACAAATGCGTTTTAAAATCTTGAGAGGAAGCTCAAAAGGGAAAGCTCAAAGAGGACAATATTTGCTAGCGGTGAGTTTGAGCTTAACAAATGGTATCAGAGTCAGACACCGGACGGTGTGCCAACAAGGACGCTGAGCCCCAAAAGGGGTGGATTGTGAGATCTTACATCGATTAGAGAGAGAGGAACGAGTGCCAACAAGGACGCTGGGCTCCGACGGTGGGTGGTTTGTGAGATCTTGGAGAGGGGAACAAAGCATTCTTTATAAGGGTGTGGAAACCTCTCCCTAACAAATGAGTTTTAAAACCTTGAGAGGAAGCCCATAAGGGAAAACCCAAAGAGGACAATATTTGCTAACGGTATGCTTGAGCTGTTATATGAATGGAATTTAAAAGTCTTTATCCGATGCTTGGAGGGTTGTTCTATTATCCGATGCTTGGAGGGTTGTTCTATTATCCGATACTTGGAGGGTTGTTCCATCCTTAGGGTCCTAAGCTATATGGTTCAACTGCATTGCTCAAATTTTAAGGATCATTTTAGCCGGCATAAAAGGGAACCCAGTTTCAGCCTCAGTCCAAGTTCCACAACTCAAAGAACGCATAGAACAATATCCCTACAGCCCCACCCAATAGAGCTTCTAGTTTATCAATAGATTGGCAATTGAAAAATTCTGCCCATACCATTCTCTCTCTCGTTTCCTATCTCAGACAAGAGAAGTTGAAAGACCTTGAAATCATACCTTATCAGCCAGTTGGTTTTCATATGTACGAGCCTTTTGAAGACTCATGTTATCCGTTGCAGCAGCAATGTAGAATCTTGGAGCAAACAAGTCCTTCTGCAGCACAGACAACACATTGAGCATCTCCGCCGTGTGGCCCCCTACATATCCATCCCACAATCAGTGCGATTACATGATTAAATCTACAAGTAAATGCAATTGATGGCTGTGGCTGTCTCACCTGAGCCTAAAACAATGAGGGTACTAACAGGTTCCAAGCTTTTGTTTCGAACGGGTCTACCACTCCAATATATGACGTAAAGAACACGACTCAAAATCAAGCTGATACTGAGAATTACGGCAGCAATAGTAATACTAGAATCCATCATAAAGAGAAGCAAACACAACAATCCTACAAAAAAGAGAGAAAGAGAAACGATAATCAATAAAATAGAAGCGAGATTGAAAGAGGTTGGGCTGCCTCAGTTTACATCACAACATCATGATTCTCACATGCGAGTTACTCATATACAACATACATAGAAAACAAGTAGCACAAGTAACATACTCAAACTTAAGAATCTTAAACATATCGTGCACCATGCTCATGTCATGCTAACCCATCTATAACTCAAGCCCTCTCAAAACACAACCGACTTCTCACAACTCTTTCTAGCTCTTCAAGTCACATCGAGCTTTGATCATTTTTACCTAAGGCCTCAAACTATGCATCGACCCTTGACCATTTTTACCCAAGGCACACCAATGACTTAGCAACGTATTGACTCTTTTCGAAGTACCCCAATACTTGCTTCTATAGACTCATCATACCAACCCTTAACCATTTTTTCCCCAACAATTCGATGCTCCTTTAGCATGTTAACATATACTCTTGACCATTTTTACTCAAGATGCACTAATATTCACCTTCCTTTCCTTTCTAGTCACCTAACTCTTTGCACTAATTAGGCTAACAATCTATATCATGATTGTTAGATATGCATTTATTCCAATAACCACATGAACATACTCATAACCACATGAACATACTCCTAACACAAACATGACCTTCCTCCATACCTTCCTATAGAAAGCCCCTCAATAAGCAGATTCAACAAGTGAGAACTCCTTATTGAAAGCACTCCTAGAGTTATCAGAAAAGTTCCTAGACAATAAAGATGATTTCCAAAGCTAGCCTCTAGACTAGAATACTCAAAACAACCAAAGGATGACTAAGAGAGGATTACCAACTAATCTAACCCAAACACCTTAAACGCTTAATGTAGGTCCTAATTCACAGCACTAGGAACAAATTCGAAAGTGTCTTGAACGAATTGTTGCACTGATTCTTACCGGAAAGGCTTGGGTATTCAGATCTGAGTACCCAATCTGAGATCACTCGAGGTTGCGAATATAAAGCAGAACGGGTTCGTTTGTGAGTGGCTGTCCACTGCCGCAAGGAGGTATTTGCGTTGAAAATCTGTCGTCGTGGATGCAGGTTGTGGGGTCGAGAGAATTTCACGAGCGCTTCTTGACTAGATCCGCCGGAATAGCGTCGTTGTCGCGCCTCTGGTTCGTGGGTGAGTCGCACGCCGTCCAGCAAGGATTCCGACGTGGTTGATCGCGCACCGATTTTCTCTGTCTGGAAGTGAGCGTTGATCGTTGCTCAGATAATGTCGCCGGTCGGAGCTGCTGCAAGTCGCCGGGGAAACTGCAGGGGTGGGAGCTGAACGTGAGAGGGAGAGGGAGGAAGAAAGACGGAGACAAACGTTTTTTCTTTTTTTCTAATTTTCCCTTTTTTTTAATTATGATCTCATTAATAAAAATATATAAAAAGGAGTAATTTTTTTCCAAAATTAATTTAAAATCTATAAACCTTTCAAGTTTTTCAATTTTGAATTAAAAAATAATTTTTACAGAGAATTAAAAATCAAATTAATATCTCAAAAGAAACCTTCCAAATTAAAATTTAATTATCTTTCTTTAATTTATTTAATCTAATTTTCATTTTAATTAATATAATATTTTTTACCTGAGAGACAACTAGATTGATAATTGACGTCTTATTTACTAAAATATGTGTAGATTAACGAAGGATCTACGGTCTTATGGACTGGGTAGAGTCTAGGAATATTTTAGGCCCAACCTCGAGTAGGATAGCTCAAACTAAGTTAAACCACAAAAAAATGGTTCGGGTTGGTTCGATTCCATCGGCTATCTTTCTTGTCCTCGAATGAAAAAAGTAAAATATATTTTTATATTAAATTACTCCGAAATTAAAAGAGAGGAAACTGAGATCACACATCGACAAAGCGTGTGCACATATAAGAGAGAAAGTTATGTGTAGTGTGGATGAGAATCGTGAGAGAAACCGTGCCCTGAAGCTCAATGAGAAGAAAACCTAAAATTATAAAGTTGTTGACTCGAGAGATGATGCAAGAGTCAAACAAACCCCGAAAAAACTTACTCTTAACTTGGCAAGTTGTATCGATTTTAATCATAAACTTGAAATTTCAACGTCACTGAAACAACAAGAAATTCGTCTAAAGTCACCAAGACCACCCACGAGGGCTCGACCCATGCAGTAAGGTCTTGATACTCATATGGCCGAAGACCTAACAAATTCCTGAAATAACAAACAACGATCAAAGAGATGTCAGCACTAGGGGTGGGTCGTTGACCGAAATCATCGACCACAAAGGAACCCCGATTACGAACCACCCGACCCGTAACCACCCTATCGAATCATATAAGATATTAAATAGTATTAATAATTGTTTAATACTTTTAATTAATTATAGGTATGTTTGACCACTTTTAGAAGAAATTGATAAAATGCATTAAAATTCCAATCATTAGCACAGTCAAAACTACATAGTTTTCTCCGAACTCAAATGGCCATATGGACAGAAGAATTGCACCAATAGAACATCAAACAGCAATAACAGACTTTTTTCACAGAGCTAACTTCATATACACAACAATAACAACAGCCCTTTCAGGTTATTTACTCTCTGAAATTACCACTCTGTGAGGCGTCGTTGTCGTCGTCGTCGTCGTCATCTGCGGAGCAGCTCTAGCGGCATGCTCGGACGCATGGGTGAGACCTTGTAACATTCTCAAGATTTCGTGTGTGTCTTCTAAGTAGTACTTAGCCTTGCTCGGTTTCTGGCCAACGGTGCAACCGAACACTTCGGCACCGGGAGGAAGGGTGGCTTTTGCACTTGTTATCACCTCGAACATATCCTCGTCCGACCTGTCGTCTCCAATGCATAGAACGAAATCGGGAAGCATTCCTTTCTCCTTCATTGTTTGCAAGAGATGTTCTGCTACAATGCCCTTGTTTACACCCTGCCATGTCATTATAAAGACCAGATAAGAACATCATGCCTTAGGAGCAGAATACTACACCCTCGAAACGACCCCTTCTCATAGTTCATCGATTTTTGTGTCATCGAAAGCAAATTCGTCGACATTTCGACACTAGGATCAATCTCAAAGAAGATCGACCCAAAATTTTTTTGAATCCCAATAGTTATTGATTAGCGGAAAGAAACATTTCCCAGTTGTGAATTCATTGGTTTGAAATTCCCTTTTAACTTTTCGTCGTTTCGTGTCTTGATAAACAAGAAAATTCAGGTACCATGGACCCGATACACAAAGTGATTATGAGATTTAAGATTGTTAATGTAACAGTTCAAGCCCACCGCTAGTTGATATTGTCCTTTTTGGCCTTTCCTTCAAGGTTTTAAAACACGTCTACTAAGGAGAGGTTTCCACACCCTTACAAGGAATGCTTTGTTCCCCTCTCCAACCGATGTGGGATCTCACAATTCATCCTCCTTGGGGGCCAGCGTCCTTGTTGACACGCCGCCCAGTGTCTGGCTCTAATATCATTTGTAATAACTCAAGCCCACCGCAAACAGATATTGTCCTCTTAAGGCTTTCCCTTAAGATTTTAAAATGCATTACTAGGGAGAGGTTTCCACACCCTTAGAAAGAATGTTACGTTCCCCTCTCCAACCAATGTGGGGATCTCACGGTTAACTACCAGGACTAAAGTTGAACTTTTAAGAGTAATAAGACTAACCTGAGGTTTAACTTCTACAATGTGTTGCCCACTCTTGACAGAAACTGGCTCATTGGCAAGAACACTTTCCAGGTGATCTAAAAGTTCCTTGGCCTGGCACGACCCGAAATCAGGATCCGCGTAAAGGTAGTTCCAAACGAGCGCACTCTCTTTAGTTTCGATTGTAGAGCCATCGGTTGTCTCGGTATACAATTGCATAACGGGTTCTGCAATCTGTTTCCAGTCGAAATCGGTCACACCTACACACGTCTCCCAATCTGCTGTATGATTTGGCCTGAAAGAAATGCAATCAAAGTCACAATACCTGGTGGAGATGAATAGATGAACCGAAATTGCAAAAAGGAAACATCGATTAACCCGACAATGATAGATTTACGACCAAAAGAAGTTTATCACTTTACACCGTTCCCCTTTTGGTGCAATATTATAAGGGGCTATGAGATCCCACGTCGGTTGAAGAGGGAAATGAATAAGCATCCTTTATAAGGGTGTGGAAACTTCTCTCTGGTAGACGCGTTTTAAAACCTTGAAGGGAAGTCCGGAAGGGAAAGCCCAAGGAGGACAATACTGCTAGCGGTGGGTTTAGGCTGTTACAAATGGTATCATCAGAGCTAGACACGAGGTGATGTGCCAGCGAGGAGGTTGAGCCCCGAAGGAGGGTAAACACGAGGCGGTGTACCAACAAGGAAGCTGGACCCCGAAGGGGGTGGGGATTGGGGGATCCCATATCAATGGGAAAGGGAAACGAACCATTTTTTATAAGGGTGTGGAAATCTCTCCCTAATAGACGCGTTTTAAAATCTCGAGGGGAGGCTCGGAAGGGAAAGCCCAAAGAGAACAGTATCTGCTAGCATTGGCTTAAGTTGTTACACCTACCGAAGCTATAGTATAACAAATTGGAATAAATAAGGATTGTAATGTGCAACATACCTAAGATAAAAACCATGTTCTGCAGCTAATCCAAGTTTTTCGCACTGTGAAAACCATTCGGTCAGAGTTTTTCGATCCTTTCCGCTAACGAGGAACACGACATTTTTAGGATCTTTACACAGGTTGTTCAGGATTCCAAGGGCTTCTGAAGTTGGATTCATACTAATCGATCCAGGAAGCATCATGATACCATCATAATCTAACAAAATTGCTCGGTGACAGGTTCGTTTATACACCGAAACGATATGATCAACCGAAAGCTTCCTGAAATTTGGATCCAGGGCAATGACTCGAAATCCTAAACCGAAACCTATGCCCCAGCACCTCCTCATGGAATGGTCTCTGCAAGCCCTGCCCAAATCCTGCAAAAAGCTTCGTGCCCAATACGCAACATCGTGCGTACTAACATACCTATAATGCTTTTCATGTCGCAGTTGCTTTTCGGCCTCCGGGATTACCAGGGCAGAGTCCATCGCTTCGGTGACAGCTTCAATATTCCAAGGATTAACACGAATAGCACCACTAAGTGATGGTGAACACCCAATAAACTCAGACAACACGAGCATGCTCTTCTTTGGAGTTGAAGGATTTAGCCCGAGAACATTGTCGAGTTCTTCGTTGCCTTGTCGACATATAATATACTCGTAAGGTATAAGATTCATCCCGTCTCTCACCGCTGTAACAAGGCAGCATTCAGCAATTGCATAATAAGCGTTTCGCTCGTAAAACTGCAAGGGAGTGTTGATCAAAACCACAGGCTCATATCCTGGCCTTCTGAATGTTGCATTAATTCTATCCACCGTTGCAGTAGTTTCAGCCATAACCTCCTGTACATCTTTCCCTCTGCCTCGTGCAGGGTTCGCAATCTGTACCAACACAGCTTTACCCCATCTCTCGGGATGTTGTCGGAGCAATTGTTCGAACGCCAAAAGTTTCAGGCTGATCCCTTTAAATATGTCCATATCATCGACCCCGAGCAAAACAGTTTGACCCTTGAACCGCTCTTGCAATTCAGCAACTTTGGATACCGTCTCAGGCAGATTCAATACATTCTGTAGCTGACCGATATGAATACCGACAGGAAGAATCTTAATACTCACCGTACGACCGTAGTATTCAAGCCCAATGTAGCCTCGCTTAGATTGATAAGACAAACCGAGCATTCGGCTACAGCAAGATAAAAAGTGCCTAGCATAATCAAACGTGTGGAAGCCAATGAGATCAGAGTTCAATAGTGCTCGAAGAAGTTCATCTCTTACGGGAAGGGTTCGATAAATCTCGGACGAAGGAAATGGACTATGTAGGAAGAATCCGAGCTTTGCCCTGTTAAACCTCTTCCTCAAAAATGTTGGCAAAACCATCAAATGGTAATCATGAACCCAAACGAAGTCATCATCAGGACTAATCACTTCCATAACTTTATCTGCAAATATCTTATTCACGGAAAGATACGCTTGCCAAAGCGACCTATCGAATCGACCACCAAGGTCCGGTGACAAGGGAAGCATATAGTGAAACAATGGCCATAAATGTTGCTTGCAGAATCCATGATAAAATTTACTAAAAAGCTCGGGAGGAAGGAACGTCGGGACACACTTGAATCGATCCAAGAGTGTTTGTGCAACATCATCTTGCTCTCTTGGATCAACCTCTTCTCTAAGACAACCAATATAAATCGCCTCCACATCTTCTCCAAGTCCATCTTTAAGCTGTAAAAGAAGTGAATCTTCATCCATACTAAACTCCCATTCTCCATTATCGTCTCGATGTGCTCGAATCGGGAGCTGATTCCCAACAATGATCATACGGTCTTGCGATACCGACGAAAGGGCATCCGAACCAGTGCTGTTGCAGCTATCATCGTCAAGTTCAGACAAGACTCCAGCCACAGTAGCCACTCTAGGAAGCCTCTTCTTCTCTCGGCCAAGGCCAAAAGTAGGAGAACAACCACCAGAAGCAAGCTCTAACAAGTTAGAATAAGACCTCGAAACCATTATAAACAGCAACAGCACCAAAAAAAACAGATCAAGCTGCTTCAAACCTACACGACAAGCCGACCCAAAACAAGGCAACAGATTCAATCAACCACAGCCAACAAAGATCTAATCCAACAAAACATATATATATCAGACAAAACATCAAAAAACCAAATCCCAGACATGATAAATGATTTTGAACTAAATTTAGAAGCACCCATCAACGATTATTATGACCTCCAACCTAAAATCAGCAAATGGGTCGTTGTATTCATGCATAGAAATTGATCGAAGAGGCAAAAGAACTTCAAAATAGAACAGAATGAATAGAAATGAAGGAAAAAACGACCCAAATGGTTGAAATTAGAGAGAAAACCCACCATTGAAAGGGGGAGATTCCTTCGATCTTCAACAATGGGGTTGAAGAACCTTTTAATTTTCCTGCTTTTTTTGCACTTTTCAGAGCTCAACAATGGAAGATCTACACTGAAATTGTTTGCCCTCTTTTTGTTTGTGCTGCAATGGACAGTGAAGGATGGGACTGGGTACAAAGAATTTGATTCCACTTGAGGAGAGAGTGAGAGATTCGTAGCGCTTACACGCGAGTGTAAGGGAGAGTAGAAATTACACACTTGGAAACCGCTTCCGCTTTGCACTAAAATTTAATTCTTTTCAACGGCTTCAATTTGTTATTCTATAATAAAAATACTAAAATACCTTTAAATTTTTAAAAATTTAATATTCTTAGTTTTCCATTAAAAATATTAATATTCTTTTTTAAAATAATTTTTATTTATTTTTTTTAAGTAAAGATTAGGGATTAATGCTATATTTTTTACCTTTAATTTTTTAATTTTTTTACTAAATATTAAAAGGGTTGAAGCTATTTTTTTAATTTTATGAATATTTAATTTTTTTACTAAATATTAAAAGGGTTGAAGCTATTCTTTTTTAATTTTATGAATATTTTTTAAATGTATTTTTTGACTTTTTAAAATTTAAGAGTATTTTTTTTTTTAGATTTTTTAAAAAATTAGAGTATTTTTATTACTTTGGCCTGATATTTTAAATTTTTTTATTTTCAAAAATTAAATTTTTTAAGTAACATTTTTTATCTTTAATTTTTTTAATATTTTTTTTAGTATATATTAAAAGGGTTGATGCTATTTTTTTTTTAAATTTTATGAATATTTTTTAAATATAGTAAATGTATTTTTTTAAAAAAAAAAATTAAGAGTATTTTTAGATTTTAAAAAAAATTTACCAATATTTTTATTACTCTAGTCTGGTATTTTAAATTTTTTTTATTTTAAAAAATTAAATTTATAAATTTTTATGTTTTAGTTTAAAAAAAATGAAATTAATTAAAATTTCAAATTTTTGTTCAAAGAAAGTGAAAGACAAAATTAAAAATTGTTGAAAAATGGAAAAGAATAAAAAATGAGTTAAATCATAAACAACACCATTATTTAATAACTCAATAAACATTTATTCATAAAATTATTTTTTAAAATTTAATAATGTGCAAATATCTAATAAAATCTTTCTAAAGTCAGACCACATAATATTCAACCATTAATTAGACGGTATAATATTAAAAAAAATTAAATATTTGGCAATTATTTAGAAGGTAGAATATTTGAAATAATAACTTGATAAGGAGTCAGGGAGAGAGTTTAATATACTTAGCTCTCAAATACATAAATATACTTGAATTTTATATTTAATAAGTCATTATCATAATTAATCCTATTTAAAATCTATTAATAAAAAAAAATATACTATTATATATGAATTTTTTAAATTAATGTTTAATATATTTTAGAAGTTCAAATAATGTTTAGGAAATTATTAAAAAGATTAAAGTTTAAGAATCTAAATATTTTAAAATTTAAAAAATCGTAATAAATAATTGCTTAATTTAATATTAACTTAATATAGGGTTTCATCAACTCTTAAAATTATCCACCTAACCCGACATTCTTGGTTTACTTTCGGCGCGTGATCTACACACACATCGAAATTAATATTAATCAATTAAGTTAATTTCATTTAATAAAATAAAGAAATATAGAAAAAAAATGTCAAAGCTCAAAGCCAATGATTGCTCTATTTAGGTATATATAAAAAATGCATTAGTTTTTTTTTTATATTAATAAAAAATTGCAATCGTTTTCATGACATGGTCAACTATTTTTATAGTAATTTTAAGAAAAAAAATATTAATTTAAAATTTAAAAATTTAAAAATTTGTTTTTAAATTTTTAAACTTCCATTTTTAAAAAATATAAGATATTTTAAAAATATAAATATTAACTATTTCTATTAAAAATTAAAAATAGAGTATTTTTTTAGACTTTTTAAAAGTTAAAATAATATTTTAAAAATAAAACATAAGATTTAGGAGTATTTTTATTAATTTAACAACTTTAATCGTAAAATATTTCATGGGTTGACTTTTTCTTGTGGTTAATGTGGTTATATATATATATATATCTTTTTCTTTAGAAAATAATTGATTTGACTTGTTAAAATTAAAAGAGATACTTTTTAATTTCTCTAAGTACGGTGAGAAACACGCGCCTTATGGTCGCGTGAAATTAGAAATCAATTGTTTAATCATTGGTATGTACATATTTGAACAGAGCCTTGTTTTGTTGTTATTACTGGTTGGTGAAACGGGCCACGTGGCTAGTGATAGGGGGAGCAATCTGGTACGTCTCGGTCCGCTCAAAGTGCCACGTTTCACTACCAGAATGCCACGTGTCTTCTTGATTCTTTTTTATTCAAATAGTCATTTACACATCAAAAGTTCAAATAAAAAAAATAAAAAAGTAAAAAAGTAAACCTTTTAATTTTTTTTAAAAAATCAAATATTTAATTACCCATATAATATTAATTTTTTTTAATTTTACATTTTATCTCAAAAATATTTTGAAATTAAAATAAATTTAATTTTTTAATCTTATGATTTTTAAAGTTCAATAAAATATCTTTGATATTTTTAATCTTATTTGAGTTATAATCAATTTAACGAGCCACCTGTCTTTAATTATTAATAATTTATTTAATCATATATTCTTCTAATATATTTAGAAGGTTGTTCCATAATTCCCTCGTTTATTTTCAATTACTTGACTTTACATATCCAATGATCATATTCTTTAATATATATATTCTTAAATGTGTCATTTACCATTAATGTCCAATTTAAAAAAATATTTATGAATATATTATATCAATAATTTAAGACATTTTAATTTTCATTAATTTTTTAAAAAAAAAATTAATTAGCTTGAATTATTTTGTTTAAATATATCTTTAATTTCTTACTGGTCGATATAATAATAATTTTTTAAAAATTTAAAGATATTTTTTAACATTTTTTAAATTAAAAAAGAAAAGTATTTTTTTAACTTTTTAAAAATTTAAAAAAAATTATATTTTTTAAGTTGATATTATTAAAACTTTAAAAAAAAAAAAATATATATATATATATATATATATATTATTTTTTAAATAAAGTATAAATTAAAAGATATTTTTATTAATTTAACTTAGTAATTTTCAAACAAAGGTCACGTGGCTCTTTTTTTGTTTCCATAAATTAAAAATTTTGAATCAAATGGTTCCAATAAATTGGAACTTGAACCTGGAAGTGGTATGGCACGTGGGAGACCACCAAAGGCTATTGGTTTCTTTATTTTAATGAAGCCTAACTTATAAAAATACGTGTCCCATTAAATTATTATTGTTTGCTTCAAATTTTTGCTTCAAAACGGTTTCCCCAAATAAAGCACAAACATATATTATATCGGTACAGATTACACGAGACAGAAACGAGTAACACAATCCTTACGGGTCCAGGCCTAGCGTCTTCAGTAGCACTCGTTTTTTTTTCCAGTCGATGTGGAACTCCCACCAAATCCACCCCCCTTGGGAGCGTCCTTACCGGCGCACCGCCTCGTGTCTACCTCCTTTTGAGAAACTACGAGAAGTTTGGCACATCGTCCGGTGTCTATCCACCCTCCTTTGAGGCCCAACGTCCTTACTAGAGCACCACCTCGTGTCTACCCCCTTCGGGGAACAATGAGAAGGCTAACACATCATCTGGTATCTATCCACCCCCTTTGGGGCCCAATGTCCTTACTAGTGCACCACCTCGTGTCTACCCCCCTTCGGGGGAACAACAAGAAGGCTAGCACATCGTCCGGTGTATATCCATCCTCTTTGGGGCCCAGCGTTCTTACTAGCGCACCGCCTCGTGTCTACTCCCCTTCGGGGAAATAGTAAGAAGACTGACACATCGTCCAGTGTCTACCTCCCTTCAAGGAACAACGAGAAAGCTAACACATCGCCCGGTGTCTTGCTCTAATACCATTTGCAACGGCCCAAACCCATCACTAGCAGATATTGTCTTCTTTAGGCTTTCCCTCAAAGCTTTAAAAACGCATTTGCTAGAAGAAGGATTCCCAACCAATATAGAACATCACATTTTACCTCATATTTTATTCGTAGTAATTTCATAACATATTTCTTTTACACAAACTATCGAAAAAACTCCTTATATTGCACTAAACACGTGCGTGCAGCATGAATGAAAAACAGTCGAGACGAGAAAAACTTTTTAATTTTATCGATACGAGCATATCTCAACCGGTTAAAAAATACATTATCGATCAAAATATTAAAAGTTTAAACATCCACGATCCACGAAAAACCTTGGTTAAAAAATAATTTTCCACCAACCATATATTATAATTTATATAATTCATAAATTGCACTATAATGTTTATTTTTTTTTTCCACTTCATTTTGTGGTAAGCGTGTGATTTATTCATTGCGGTGTTCCCATTAATAAAAGTGAAAAAACCATAATATAAGTGATACAATCATAATGATCAAATAAACTATATGAAATGCTTTATGATAACTTAATCACTATAGTTTAATATAATATTAATTTAGTTATATGCTTTTTTTAAAACTTCTATTATTCTGGTCAAAGAAGGTTCGAAATTTAATACAAGTCATATATGGATAGGTCTAAGTGATCATTGCGGACAAAAAACGTGCACTCTCAACCCAATGGTTCAAGGTTTGAATCTTCCACCACCGTGTTGAACTAAAAAAATTTGTGTGCATATGACAGTAATTTTTTTAACGTTAAATTAATAAATATTTTTAAGTTTGTCTGTAAAAATATTCTTGAACTTTCAAAAGTTTCAATAATAACCTTAAAAATAGATTTACATGGTAATAATAAATGTTTTTTTTTTACTTTTTAAAAATTTTAAGGATATTTTATAATTTTTTAAAAAATAATGATATTAATGAAAAACTTTAAACTATTTTTGAAATAAAATATTAAAATTCATTTATATATATATTGGAAAATATGAATATTTGTTAAAAGCCCAAATACGAAGGGCCCAGATTAGCAACAATGGATCAATTATCGTGGGCCGCAGGCCCAACATTGTGGCTGAGGTCCGCCCTACACTCGATTTTTTTTTTTTTTTTTACTACGAATAATAATTTCAATTTCCCTCACGTTTGACTTGAAGAGTGAAAAGTCAAACTGACTAACGTGCAAACCGACACAAAGTATGT